TCCACTCACCTTAGCCTCCCAAAGGCGTGGGATTACAGGCTGAGCCACTGAGCCCGGCTACCCCCTGATATTTTTACCCAACATATGGACTTGTTGACAGTGTTGGCAAAGAAATGTTCAGTTTCAAAAGAGGAGGCCCCAGTATGTCACACTTTCAATTCAAAAGAGGAAGACCCAGTGTGTCGCACACTAAATTCGAAAGAGGAAGTGTCTATGCCTCCTCATGGGTTCAAGACAGGGGCCTTCCCCTTTCATGGGACCAGTCCAGATTAGCGCCACAAATGCGGGAAAGTGTCAGGTTCTCCTGTCACCTTTGCGAAAGGTGGTCTAGTCTGCTCTCATGAGGGGAGATTGACTGGAGGGATTTCATGCATATCCGGTGAACACCATTGGCCTGGATGACCAAGGTCGAGAAATTCAAGAATACAGACACTTTCTATAAAATCGATGAAAGATCTTAAGACTACAGTAGCCCAATATGGTGCTACAGCGCCATTTACCCTGGCTATGTTAGAGACTGTTTCCCAGGAAAGTTTAACACCTAATGATTGGCATATCACTGCAAAGGCATGCTTGTCCGGGGATATTTGTGATGGAAAACTGATTTTGGGGATAGATGTAAGGAACAAGCAGAAAGGAACAGAGGAGGGGACTTGCATATTATCAATTTGGATATGCTCCTTGGTGAGGGTGCATACACCTCTCAGGAGTCACAAATTCTATACCCTCCAGGCTGCGTATGGTCAGATTAGTGGGGCAGCCTCTGGGGCATGGCGCAGGCTACCGTTGGCAGGCATAAAAACTGAACAACTTTCTAAGATTTGCCAAGGGCCTGATGAGCCTTACCAGGATTTTGCATCCCGCCTTTTGCAAGCAGTCGGTTGCTTGGTAGTGGATGGAGAGGCAGGGACATTATTAGTTAAACAATTGGCCTATGAGATTGCTAATTCTGCCTGCCAAGCAGCCATTCGTTCCTATTGGAAGAAAGGGGATTTGTCAGATTACTTTTGCCTATGTGCACATATCGGACCTGCCTATATGCAAGGTATGGACATGGCTGCTGCCTTGCAGGGGACTGCGGACCCTATCACCTGGTTGTCTCGGTGGAGCAGTGGCCACTTTCTGGGAATAAGCTTACAGCGGCCACTGCGCTTGTTCAGGAGCAGCTTGCGGCCGGCCACATTGAGCATTCAAACAGTCCTTGGAACACTGCTATTTTTGTCATTAAGAAAAAAATCAGGAAAATGTCATTTACTGCAGGACTTGAGAGCTGTGAATCGTTCTATGGAAATCATGGAACCACTGCAACCTGGTCTGCCCTCTCCTGTAGCCATTCCAGATGACTATTTTCTTTTTATTATTAATCTTAAAGATTGCTTTTTTACTATTCCACTTTTTTACAAGGATCGAAAACGCTTTGCTTTCTCATTTTGCTGGCTGTTAATTTTCAATAGCCGGCCCAAAGATTTCAGTGGAAGGTATGCCTCAAGGCATGGCCAATAGCCCCACCTTGTGTCAAACTTTTGTGGCCAGAACCTTGCAACCTGTTCAATCATATTTTCCCAAGGCTTATATCATCCATTACATGGATGATATTCTTGTTGCTCATCCTGATGAAGAGGAATTGCAGGAGATATTTTTTAAACTACAAAATTCTCTCCATAATGCTAGTCTCATCATTGCCCCAGAAAAGGTGCAATGGGCAGCTCCTTATGAATATCTTGGGAGAATTATAAATGGGCGCAAAGTCCGGATGCAGAAGCCTCAAATCAGAACTGATTCTTTAACCACTTTGAATGATTTCCAAACGTTGTTAGGTGACATTAATTGGTTGCGCCCTCTTCTTGGAATTACCACTGTGCAGCTCATACCTCTCTTTGATATCTTTTTTTTTTTGAGTTGGAGTCTCACTCAGTCGCTCAGACTGGAGTGCAGTGGCTGCTCCCGGCCACCGCAGCCTCGAC